GTTTGTAATCTAAAATGACTGAAAATTGCAAATTTCGCAAGGCTATATTTTCCGCATTTTACAACATTTTGCAACGAAACTTTGGAATATTACTAATTTTGTGATGCTGCTTCAAGCTGTGATGAAATTTTTGTCTAGACTTGTTTAGTTCAAAATTTAGTCTATTACGCAAATGGTCAATTGAATTCTGTAGTGTTTCTTGATTTGGCCAAGGCATTTGATACGGTGGATCATGAGATTTTGTTGAGCAAACTTCAGATTTATGGAGTTGATTCAATGAGTCTCAATTGGTTTAGATCGTATCTATTTGACCGAAAACAAAAATGTAATGTAAATGGTCTAGTATCAAGTGAGCGCTCGTTGCTATGTGAGGTACCTCAAGGATCTATTCTTGGTCCTTTGCTATTTCTTGTTTACATTAATGACCTTCCTTCTGGTCTGCAACATTCTACAGCACGAATGTATGCTGATGATACAAATATAACTACAACTGGAAAGTCGATAAAGGAAATAGCATCTGGAGCCAATACAGATCTTGAAAATATTCGCATATGGCTCAAAGCAAATAAACTTACCCTGAATGTTACCAAAACGGAGTATATGTTCATTGCGTCTGACAGTAATCTTGACAAACTGCGGGACATACCATATTTAGTTTTGGGTGGAAAACCCATAAGAAGAGTTAAAGTATCAAAATCACTGGGGATTTTTATTGACGAAAGATTGTCATGGAGAGATGACAGAGATCATATTGATAAAATCTCTAAGACCATATGCTCCGGAATTTCCGGTCTTCGGCAAGTGAGAGAGTTTGTTACCCTTTCAACATTACTTTCAATATATAATTCACTAATTCAACCAATATTTGACCATTCTGATGTTGTTTTGGATAACATGTCAATCACACTTGCTCAACGACTGCAAAAACTGCAAAATCGTGCAGCAAGAGTGACACTTGTCAGGGTTATGAAGTAAGATCTAATGATATTAGACGTCAATTGAAATGGAAAACACTTTCCGAAATAAGGAATAGTCATAAACTCATAATGATGTATAAAATATTAAATAATATGGCTCCTGTTTACTTACGTGACCATTTTAAAATGTCTTTCACGGTCCAAGCTTATTCTCTTAGAAATAGAAAACTATGTCTAATTTTGCCAAGAGCACAAACAGAATTCCTAAAGAAAAGTTTTGCCTTTTCTGGAGCAAAAGTTTGGAACGAACTACCACAAGAAGGAAAATGTAGCAATAGTTTACAAATCTTCAAAAAATGTATCTCATCTCATGCCTAAAATTGTATATAGCTATTTTTAATATAATGTCGGCCCTCTTGTAAAGCAGTGGTATCACTGAAGAGTTCGCCGAATTTAAATAAAGATTTCTCTCTCTCCATGGATCCATGATGTCTTCTTCAATGTGCGCAGCTTTGAAGATTTCTTTAATCACCTTCGCTTCTGATTTGCTATCTGGTGTCGATTCCAAACTCGTTGAACTGGCCATTCAGCAGGATTGTTTAACCATGATGGACCCTCTTTCCACAACGTGTTCCCGGAGACCTTTCCTCCCCGACTTCCGATGTCGGCTGGGTTTTCCGCTGTCGGAACGTGATGCCAAATAATGTTCTCGTGCCGACGAATCTTTTGTACTCTGCCTGCCACAACTAATTGTCGGTACTCACCTTGATCATTAATCCAATGCAGAGCTACGGTTGAATCGAGCCAACAATAAACAGTTGCTGGATGAGTAGTGAAAGCTTGCTGAACGTTTGTGGCTAGGTTTACAGTCATGTGTCCCGATATGAGCTCTAGACGTGGAATGGTCAAATCCTGCTTCGCTATCCGTGACTTCGAACATACCAATCCTTGGGTAACTCCATCCTCTTGTTTGACTACTGCATGGACAACTGCACAAACGCCGTTTGAGCTCGCGTCTCCGAATCCATGCAAGGTGATCTCTTGAATTTGGTTGATGGTATGAGGTTAAGGACCGAGGGATTGTATAGGACTCGAGCGTTTTGTTCCATTCCTTCCATTTCTTTCGTAGTGGCTCTGGTAGGTCCGCGTCCCATGGAATTTTACTGTCACACGCGCTCCGATAAACAAGTTTTCCGGTCAGTGTGGTTGGTGAAGCCAAGCCCAGGGGGTCGTAGATTCGTGCCAATTTTAACAAGATGCTTTTCCTAGTTACAGGTTCAGCGTCTGGGGTGAGGGTCACGCTAATAGTATAGTGCTTCCGATCCCAGGGCACACCAAGTAGTTTCCCATCGGGCTGTTCGATCCCTGCCAGTTGACTTTTGGCATATGTTAGTTCACTTATCTCTGATGGCGATTGATTTTGGGCTCGAGTTCAGGTACATTTGAGTGCCACTTATGTATTGTGAAAGTGGCATCGTCGAAAACTTCTATAGTTTTCTCCTTCTGAGTCTGTATTTCTGCGACTGTGGTACCCCTGTAATCAAATCATCAACATACAACCCTTCGCGTAATTCTTCACTATTTCGGGATAGCGATCTTCCCAAGTGTCCAGATGGTGTTTAAGGACTTCCCCAAGAAGGAATGGGGAGCAAGTCAGACCAAACAGGGCTGGAGTAAATCGGTAGATTTGTACTGCATCGTTCCCAGTCTCTTTCCAGTGAAAACACAATGAATCTCGATCTTCGGCCTTTATTCTGATTTGCAGAAAAGCCTGTTTCAAATCGATGGATTAAGGATACACTTTACATAACAAATAACACCAGTTTCATACAAATAACACTGATTTCACACATAAGTTAAAGTCAAAATTAATACTTCCACACATAATTGTCTTTTAAGGGACTATTTACATATTGGTTAAGAGATAATTTTTCAACTTTTTTAAAAAGAGGTAAAAGAGGTTGTATCAGTTAGATCAGTGGGTAACAAATTAAAAAAAATTGATCCTTGAAACCTTATTGCAAATTGACTAATGTTCGTTCTACACAACGGCATTCTAATTGCCCTTGCATTAGACCATTACGGCAAGAATACATAAATTTGCCCACTTGTAAGAAGAAAATATCATGAAATTTTAGGATGGAACATTTCTTGAATAAAGGATCTGTGTGTGCATTAAATTTACATTTATTTAAAATTCTAATTGCTCGCTTTTGCAATAAGTTTATGCGGCGAAGATTATGTTTATACGTCGAAGCCCAAACCACATTACAATATTCAATATATGGATAAACAATTGAATAGTATAATGTTAGTAAAGATTTTTTATGTAAGTAGAAACTATAGCTTTAAAAATTATTCCTATAGCCTTAGAAATTTTGCCATGTGGGAAATGTGTGATTTCCAAGAAAATTTCTCATCCAATATTACACCCCAAAATACAGCCGTTCCTTTACTTGCTCAATATAGTTACTATCAATACTCACTTGAAAGCTATGATGACAAACAGGTGGGAAATTTGTCTGAGCATGCGCGAGTAAAATGAGTCACGCAATTGTGTGGAATACACGCAACGCGTGTTTACAAAAAAGCACAATCGTGTAAATATTGCAAAATGTTTGTACAAAATAAATGACTGTTTTATGTTGAAAGAGTGGACATGATCTAAATTAATCATACAGAACTTTTTAGTGACGTTCTATTTCAGTACCCTGCCATTGTCTCTGGTGGGCTGTCCGTGTACATTCGATCTGAAACAGTTGCTACTTTGCTGTCGAAGAATTTCGAATGTTTACATGAAAATAGAGGCAAGTCATGCATTTTACAACCTCTTAAACTGTATGAGCCCCTATTTTTACGCTTATACCTAAGATATCAAATAAAAGTACATGAAACAGAGGACATTTGTAGAAAGTTTTATCGTGAGGCCACGGCCAGTTTTTAAAATATCTTTATTTCTGTTCCGGTCATC